ATTCACATCCAACATGTAAGGAAATCCACAATCCTATTTCAAACCGTGGATATCGTAAGTGGCAACAACGGAATGTGCCAGAAAAATCTTATGGCTTCCGATAGATTACAGTGTCTTTATCTAGTGTAGAATGTGGATAGACTACTTGTAGGAGAACCATACCGGCTACGAAAATCACCGTCTAGTACAATCCGCATCTGAAACGTGACGATTACAATGGAAGAGGTCTATATCTAGCAGTGATCAGTTCCATTCACGGCGTGTACAGGGTTTTATTATATACAAAAAAGTATTTATTGGTTGCTCATAGGAAGGATTTTCGCAAAGATGCGACGCTGGTAGGCGGTTTCGCAATTGCAGCTTTTTATTACTTTGAGTTGCTATCAGGAAGATGCTGCTGCCCGTCTTCCATTTTAATTTCCCCCTGTCGTCTCTTACGACACCCACGGGACGATATCGAGGAGTGAACACTCTTTCACCACCTTTACATGGTCAACTTCATTTGATTCAATGTTACCATGTGGTGTGGTGATGTGAATATTTCTACATGCTGGAACCGAAAGCTAGTCTCTAATAAAATGTATTCCTGCAAAGTAACTTCTGATTTCATATTAACTAACAAAAAATGTATTACCTGGCCTTAATGTCCGAGAGTACTTGTCCTTCAAGAGGGCTTTTCTTACCGCTTGGAAGCTCGCCGCAGCCAGAGAAATGTCTCTACCGAAGTTCAGAATCATCTCCATACCCATTAGTGGGTTATTCGTGATGTCGCGTGCTAGAACAAAAAAAATGTAAAGAAATAGAAAGTTATAGATTTTTTAAATACAACAGAGATAATCAACAAAAATACAAACAGAGATATCCAAAGTAGAACCAGAGTGTCCAACATACCCAATCACTGCCGGCAGTCTCGTACTGGTACGTGAACTGAACCCCCCACGAACGGATTGACGACCTGATAGAAAATCGATGAATGATCAGGTCAGATGCAGGGGAGTCAGGATTAAGTACAGTTTCATTTCTTGGGGGAGGCCTATGTAATAATGATAATGATGATGATGATAATGCTTATAGGTGACTTAAGAAGAAGAACCTTTAAATAAAAGGTAAAACTGATTTCAAAAACATAAAAAAATCCGCGTTTAGCTGTTTACAGATACACGAAGTGAAACTTCTTTACGACATATCATTCTTTTATTTTATATATTATATGAGTAGGTTAAATAATACTCATGCCGCCCCGGCGGTTTGCCGCAATCGCCAGGCCTGGCGGATTTGCAATCACAATGTCAAAGTTTTAATTCGGCGGGGGCTTAATAAATAATTCATTAGTAAAATTAGGAACGAGTTAAACTTAAATTTGCTAATTATGTGAATCGATAAATTCTTAATTAGTCGAATCCTTTGCTCGTCAAAATCTTAAGTTGCCAAATATTGAGTTCGTCGAAATTAGCTAATCAATTAGGTTTCGGTAGAGTCAGTCGAGCAAAAATTAAAACGATAAACGTAATCAATTTATGCATGAATTACATTATAATACCTAATAAGTTTAGATGAATACAATTTAAAACAATTCAGAGATCGTGTAACTTGTAATCTTTAAAAGATATAGAGTTCTCTTTTTGCCTTTCAGAATGCTATAATAAATTGTTATCTTATCTCTTTTTATCTGGTAAAAACAATAAATTTTTGTGTAATCGAAGTTATCTCCCTATGTGTTCTTTGTATGTGAAATGGGTAAAAATTAGAAAGTGATTCTCATCTTCAGCTATAAGTAATATAAAATTAGTCATTAACACTAGAAAATTACGTGAACACGTAGAGTGCCCTTTTGCGACAGTTATTTGAGTGGTCAATTTTTGAAGAAACACCGGTGAATCCCTGATAACACTGTGACTTATCAAGTTTATTTTTAAACTGTTCATGAATTACTCGTAATCTTTGTCATCACACATATTTCTTGCATAAACTTTTAGATGTTTGTAGTGTTTGTTTTGATAAAAATCAATATTTATAGAGCCATTGTACAAGCTTCTAATTATCTTTTTGATTAACCATATGATTCCATATTCAAAATTAAAGTGATGACCAGCAAATAGTTACATTCTCTGCTCTCTTTCAGTTTACACCATACCAAACAATCAATCCCGGTAGCCCATTGCATTGACTTGATGGTAATAAAAATGTATTCTATAAAAATTAAAACAAATTCTTAGCAAAATTTAAAATGGAAATAAATTCCCAATATTGCATAGAATGTATTTATAGTTCAACTGAAATTGATTTTTCGCTTACTAATATAAAAAAGAAAAAAGCAAGAGTAATAGATTACGATGTGAAGAGGTACCACGCACGTCGTAATATATAACAGATAATACAATAATACCGTATAATTGAATATCAAACGAACATACCAAGTGAAGTTCTATGACAATTATGTGAACGGTTTCATTCGAAGCGATTGATTTTTAACGTGTTGTAGTAGCACCTCCATGTACGGATTTTAAAAGTATATTTTTTGTATGGTATTCCCAATAATAATAATGGGTCAATGTGTGAAAGAGTATGAATGTGTAAGCCCGAGACTACTATGGATACGAATAAAAGTAGGCCTAAAGAAGTTGTTTGTTCTAGGGGTCTACGCTTCAGACATGTCTAAGCCCACTTATATTCGAGAGCAGTTTTGGGAGATGGTAAGGATAGTGTTAATGAAATGTAAGGAAAATGAAAATTATTGTTATGTTAGGAGATTTTAATGGAAGGGTTGGGGTGAGGAGGCTTGGCTATGAAAGGATACTGGGAACGTTTGGTGATGAAAGTATTATTAATGAGAATGGTGAAAGCCTCCTCCCCGTATGTGTGGAAAGGATTCTTTTTGTGACGAACACTTTCTTTCATCATAAGAAGATTCACATGTATACTTGGGAAAGAGGTGATGATAGAAGCATGATAGATTTCATAACTGTGGATGAAAGAATGAGGAGCGCAGTGGTGGATACAAGGGTTTATCGGGGGTCCAACGTAGGGACGGACCACTACCTGGTCTTATGCCGAATTAGGGGTTTATTCAGACGTTGGCGGCATCGGACATCTGTGTCTACCACTGCGTTACAGCGTATAAGAATTGAGAGGTTACAAGATGAATATGTGAAAGACAAGTACAAATGTAGACTGAGAGAAAATATAAGTGATTTGGATGAGTTGTGTGTGAATGAGTTAGACTTGGAGAATGTGTGGCATAATGTTAAGAAAGGTTTAGTGGATGCAGTTACCGAAATGTGTGGTGTTAGTAAGAGAACGAATGAAAGGTAAGACAATACGTTATGGTGGGATGATGAGGTACGTATGGAAGTTGAAGCAAAGAAGAGAGCATGGCTAGCTTTACTAGCGACCAAAGATGGTAATTCTGGCGGTAAGAATGATGGAATTGAAAGAAAAAAGGCAGAGTTTAAACGTCTAAATTAGAGAGTAAAAGAAGGCTGCTAATTCTAGTGGTACGAATGGTGATATTGAAAGAAAAAAGGCAGTCTTTAGACATCTTAATGTTCTCTTAATCTTAATGTAATCTTAAAGTTTTTCATGTGACAATAAGCACCCCAACCTGTAGATGATGCGTAAGAAAACATTTCTAAATCATATTTATTACAGTTTTGTGGATGCAAATGATGATCAATATGGTTTATCCACCAAAGCATGTCAGTCTGAAGACTAAGGAAGCTTTACAATTCGGTCAAAACTAGGGTTTTCGAGTAATCACCGATATTTGAATTGTTCAAAACGTTTAGTGTATAGCCATGAATATTTAACCGCAGGGCATGCTGACATTAGAAGTACTAAAAGTCGAGCAAATTCACGAAGATTACATTTACGTAGTTTAAGGTACTTAGAAATACCCACTTTTTTTTAGAATCGAGCAATTTTACCGTCATGTTCTTGGAATCAAAAATAAAACCTAAAAATTTACATTGAATGTATGGTTCCAAGCAGCTTTTCTCTTTGTTTACTATGAAACCCAAGCTTTGGGTAAAGTTTGTAGTAAGACTAATATTCCTTTTGCATTCTAATAGTGAAAATCCAATGCAAAATATATCATCAAGGTATATAACAGATATCATTCTATTAATTATAAGAAATTCTATTACTGCTTTCATTAGTTTAGTAAAAACATAAGGTGCTGTGCACAAACCGAACGCTAGGCAATTGAATTCAAAAAAGCGCCTCATTATATTAAAGCGAAGGTATTTTGTAGGAGATTTATGTATGGGTACAAGAAAATAGGTGTCTTTTAAATCTATGGAAGCCATATAACAATTCTGGTAATCAATTTTGATGCTGTTCAGTATTCCTCCATCTTAAAATGTCCCGTTTCAACGAACTTATTTAAGCATTTAAGATTCAATGTAAATCTATTGTCTTCGTTCGGTTTTGGCACTTAAAATACACTGGATATGAATTCGCTTTCTTTGTGTGCGGTGGGATATTGCACCAATATCGAAAAGAGTTTTAATTGAATTGTTAAAGTTATGGGCTTCGTGGGATGTTTTGGGGTAAACATCACTATTACGATATGGCGTACTTTTAAATGGTATTTGATAACCTTTCACCCAAGATGAAATAGTTTTGTCTGAAGTTATTACAGCCCATTTATGGGCAAAGTACTGAAGTTGTTCCGAAAATGGTACCACGTCTATATCCGGCGCGACATCGTCCGCTTGATTGACGGCAGGCGGCGTGAAGTGCTGGCTGCCTGCTGCGGTGCCTCCCGCGGGCGCGGCGTTGACCGCTGCCCTCGCCTTGTGTTGTAAATTTGCGACTGCAATTTGTTGTCTACCTTGCGATGTTGGTTTAGGTAGTTTAAATGACCAGTGTTGCTGGTGGTACTGAAAGTAGAGCGGATAAGTATTAACAGACGAAATTATGAAACCTTTACGTGTTGTTGATTCCATAAAATGACTATCGCGAAGAATGCGATAGGCGTCGCTTAAAGCTTTTAAAAGTTTTTATTTGCCAGTTTCGTCCGAAATGATCATATTGGCGACAGCACATAGGGCTGCAATGGCGACGCCTAGCTGCTTTTGTTTGAACAAAAGTGACGAGTCTCGTTTTATAGAGGTCTCTGTCAGGGCTGCTTTAACCCCCGAGTTTAGAGCTGGTGCAATCAGGTCACAGTTGGAGGGTATAAGATAAGTCTTCAAAAGACTTTCTTTCACGTCTTTTACCAACCCTTTAGCAAGTATGTCTTGCCACCGATTGGCTATATCCTTATGGATTGCTGGACCCATTGGGGTCTCGTTTTTAGGTGATGCACCAAGCAAAATCAGTATGTCTCCATCGAGTTGCTCCTCTAACACCATCGGCTGTGAAGGTTCACTGCCAGCTGAAGTTTCAGGTGGTGGACAAATCAGTCTTTCGTCAACCTGCGGTTGCGGTGACTGTGGTGCCATTCTCAGCACCGGCGATTTTTGGGAACGTCGGCGGTAGAGAACCAGTTCCTGGAGAACCATTTCCTGACAAGATGGTTATATCTAGATGAAGCTCCCCATCAACCAGAAAAGGAGACTCCGCGCATGACGCTGCTAATAAAGCATGGCACGTGCTCAGCGGATGCAGCGGTAAATCTGCAGCAAGCAGTTCTTATTAGAATGTTTGTAATAAAAATGTGACAGTATCAGCCCAAAATTAGCAATACGCATCACAACTTTGTATTTTTTATTTAGATCAATAATGACGGTATTAGCCGAAATTTAGCAGTACGCATCTATGTATTGAGTCTAAAATATAAAACTTATTTATTTATTTATTTATTAGGCATTACAACAGCCTTCATTCTGTGAAAAAAAATCTTATATAATATGTTTTACATAGAGCCAATAATAGTCATCCACTTTTTACAATTTAACACAAATCAGAAGTATGAAAAGTTGAAAAAAAATTACAAAACCTTTGACCAAAAACTTACTTAATTTAAAAAAGTTTGTCATGGCTGACCTAGGAAATTATTTATGCTTGAATGGGATAATATTAAAATATGTAAGCGCACACAGATTGGTGGAGCCACGTGTTTAAGCCTGCCGAAGTCTAGTTCCCCGGTCGAACCTTAAACCTATTACGCGAGATATTAATCTAAGTGGACTGTATCTACTAATGCTTGTACACTTATATATGCGGTACAATGCACTCGTTCTTCCCAAAAAAAAACGAACTATTATTTGCCAAATCGATGAAAGGAATCCTGCTTGATTAGGAAAACACAAAATTGGAGCGGGTTAAACGATTATATCAAGCAGGAAAATACTATTAGGAAAATGTTGACTCACCGGGATGTTTCTTCTATGCGGTCGAGCACTATAACTGCGACTTCTGGAACACTCCGGAGAGAGGCGGTGCGCGACTATATCTCACACGAGGTGAGGCGGGTTTCCTGGAGCTCGACTGCTTCCAGGCTAAAGCGGTTTCTACTAGTGATGTGTTTCCAACAACGAGCGCGGCGGGAAGAGCTCTTTAGGACACTATTATCCTAGGCGGTGTGGTTTCAACGGCGAGCGCGGCGGGAAGAGAGCCACGCGTCAGTCGCGCGTGTCTTATATATTCTCGGTTCCGATGATTACGTGATGTTCTAGAATCATCTTCTTTCCCCTCCCACCCCACCATCCCGATGTGTCGATAGGAGGGTACGAATGATATTGTTTTGGAAAGGGATAAAATAAATACGAATGGTTTTCCGCGCAACCACAGATACATATAACCATTTTTTTGCGTCCGAAGCAATTGGAAAGGGCTACCCTTTATGTAGGGAGGCGGAAAATGCATTACGCATACCACGATAGCCGGTCTATCGTGGTTATGAGGGACTCACTGCCTACCGGGGGAACCTAAGTGATACCCTCTAAAAACTGCCTTTGGCGACTGGCAAATGGCTGTTTAAGCTTCTTATGCCGTATCGGGATCGATCCTCTTCTGGGAAAAGAGGGCGCAGGCGGCTACGAGCCGCTGAGGGAGTGCCTACGAAGGCAAATTAATTATGAATAATTTAATTTAATTAGAGTTTGCCTGAGCCGCCAGGAGGCAGTTCAGGTTGTTTGACAGTTTATTAAGCGGGTCCGAGTGAGAGTTTCTCGGCCTGCGCACTCGATAGCGAGAGGGGGGTGGGGCTGCATAAGTAGCTGCCTCACGATTAACATGATTGGAGTGCGACTGAAGCTTTGAAGAAGTTCTCAGAGAGTTTTTTAAGAAATTGTTGAATTGTAGGGAGCTTTAGGTCCCGATGAAGGTCGGCATTACGGACCTACCAAGGTGCGTTCGCAGCTCGACGACAGAAAAGGTTTTGAACTATTTGGAGTTCATTAATAATTTTAGGGTCGGAGTGGGCAAAAATGGGGCCCGCGTAGGACACGACTGGTCGTATACAGACCTTATAAAGGGTACTCTTGTTTCTGAGGGACATTTTACTGTGTCGGCCCAACATACTGTTGAGCCTACTCAGGTAAAAACGTGCGTGACGGGTTACTCTTTTGATGTGGGGCCTGAAAGTGAGCCTTGTGTCTAGAGTGACACCTAAATATTTGGCAGACGTATACCAGGGGACAGGGGTCCCTAGCATACGTATTGGTGGAGTGTTTTTGAGAAGGCGTCGTTTATAATCGAAGTGAACGGCGGAGTTCTTCTCCGGGTTCACACCGATGCGCCATTTTTTGAACCAAGCTCCTAGGTGGTCAACTGACTTTTGAACCTTGTTCCGTTTGAAAGGTAGCGAGGTACCTTTAGAGTAGATAGCAGTGTCGTCTGCGAAGAGGGAGAGCTGAACACCTTTCGACGGGATGGGAATGTCATTGGTGAACAGGATGTACAGCAGAGGAGCAAGTACTGAGCCCTGAGGGACACCAGCTTTGATAGGGCGCTGTGAAGATAGCGTGCCTTCGTGTCTAAAACGAAAGGTACGATGCTTTAGATAAGAGGCCACGAGACGTACTAGACGATCGGGGAGACCTTTTTTTATAGCGTGTAGATAAGGCCTGTCTTTTAAGTTAGGATTTTAATACGTGCCTGCAGAATCTACTCAAAAGTTTTCATGGTGGTCGAATATCGTTCATAATTACCGTCACCTTAACACAAGTAAAATCTCGTCGACGTAACACATATTAGATAAGCAAATTTAATATTAACAAATTACAAAACTATAATTGAAAAACGTGACTAAAAGAAATAAGGAGAAAGTAAAACTAATACACATAAAGAAATAGCTTTCCTTTTATACATATATAAAGAGAGTAATGAGAAAAAAATATACATGCGTATATTGTTTAACTTATTATAGTCATAAATTATATCTAAATACCGAAGGTAATCTTCCTGGAACATTTTATAGGGCTCATGTGGCGCAAAAAAGTAAATTAATATAGCAAGATTACAAGCACAAATGGTGTGTTACTCGTAATTTTATTTTTCGGTAAAGTTAAGTAAAAGTGCCACACGGCAGCTTTCGCTGACGCATGGATGGGCTGGCTTGAACCGGGGTTTACCTCTGCGTTTCGCTTGGTGAGTACAGGTGGTTGGATGCCCTATTTCCCCTCCCCCCACCCTTAACATGGTAACAGAATCAATTAAAAACTACCCCGGGAGGGTATCAGCACCCTGGTGACGGAGAATCCCTCGCTGAGCATCCACGACCAAGTTATCCTACTCCTCTTGAGCGTGGGTGATCAGCCTGCTCCACGTATTCTGGGGGGGGGGGGGGGTTAAAGTGCTCGGGGCAAGCGGAGCAACAACACCAAGGTGACCCCTGCCACGCTATCCGTAAATTTTTGCAACGTTAGGGGACTTCAACCTTAACGCTGTGCACTATCATCTAGAGACTCAGGTGTTCTCTTCAGCTGATACTTCATATCTCTCCTACGCGGAGTATAAATTAGATCTCCCCTGGAGTATACGTACGAGAAAATTTCGGGATACAGCATTACTATTTAAAAATGTATTTATTGCTTTTCGAAGTATTCTCCGCGAAATTTGACACATTTTTCCATACGATGGAACCAATCATTGAAGCAACCATTCTATTAGGAAGTTGGGGGTCTCCAAAATGGCCGTTTTGTAGGCGTCCACAACTTCTTCAGGTGATGAAAATCTCTGTCCACGCAATTTATTCTTTATTTTACGGAAAGTATAGAAATCATTAGGGCTTAGGTCGGGGCTGGACGGCGGATGGTCTAATAATTCTATGTTTTCTTGCTCTAAAAACTCTTTTGTTCTGTGTACGGTGTGAGAACTCGCATTGTCGTGATGGAAGACGATGCGGCGGTTGCAGTTCGCTTTACGGAGTTCAGAAACGACTTGTGGCAAACAAATGCTAGCATACCATTCTGCATTAACCGTTCTATGTCCCTCAAGAGGAATAGTCGTAACATGGTCGGTTTTGGAGACAAACGTGGCCACCATTTTTTTTGCAACACTCCGTAAACGAACAATTTTTGTTGGCTTTAACTCATTTTCGAACACCCAAACTCTTGACTGGTTTTTTGTTTCGGGTTCGTACGCGTATATCCAGGATTCGTCACCTGATACGATGTTGTATACAGCATTTGAGGATCCTGCGTGGAATCTTTCGAGAGTTCTGACGCACCAAGTAACGCGAGCCGCTTTTTGCTCTTCACAGAGCAAATGCAGTATCCATCATTATTTGTATTTGACTCATGCCAATGTCTAAAGTTGCCTGAATTTCGTCAATCTTCATGTCAATCTTCCTCAATCAGCTTACGCACAGCGTCAAAGTTTTCTTGGGTGACTGCAGTTTTTGGACGACCTTGACGGGGATCATCACTGAGCTTGACACGTCCACGTTCAAATTCAGCAAACCAGCCATAAATTGTGGTTTTGGATGGGGCTTCATCACCAAATGCAGAAATCATCCGGACAACACACTGTTTTTGTGTTAAAGCACTTCGGAAGTCATAATAAATCATCGCTCTTGAATTTTCTCGAGTCAATTCCATTTTCTCAACGACTAAACAAGTTTGACAAAACCTTGTGACAAGACCGTGAATCTTTTTTTTTTAATAAATAAATGGTATTCGATTTTTAAAACCAAGGAGTTTTCAATTAAAAAGATTTTAATATGACAGGAGCAGTGGAAATATTCCTTCCCGATAATTTTAGTGCAGCCTAGTATACGTCAGAGAGGACATCTGTTTTCGACGCCTCGGCCGTCTTGAAAGTACGGACCTGTCCATCCTATGGCTGCGCGTAGACAGCTACGCTACAACAATCCCTGCGTCTACGGGTGCCTCTTTAGGTCCCATAGCGGTAATACCGAACAGACCGACTCATCGACCACATTCTAATGGCTACAGATTCCGTTTTGGCGATTTTAACGTCCACCACGCCGAATGGGTCAGTTCACGTTTAACCGATAATGCGATCTGATTAATGATTATTATATGGAGATCTGTTTATGACTTTGCATTGGCATATAGTCTGACACAACTGATTACTTTGCCTACGCAGATTTCAG